AAAACCTCTCACAAGTTAAAGCATAAAGAAGTGTTTGAAAGCAATGTATTTCAAATTTCAAGAATTTCAAACACTTGAAAGCCCAGAATTCGTCAAACTAGAACTTTCAGAAATGGTGAAAAGAATTAATCACGTGGGCATGACAACTGCCTCTCACAGCATCCATTTAAGACAAAACCTGACGGCCTGGAAATCAAGTGGAAGCATGTTGAATGGGAATATAAATACTAAGATTTCTGCAGTTTAAGGGAAGAAAAAAAAAGAAAAATCAAGTATTCTTTTGGGATAAAGAAGATTCTGAAAGGAAACTGTGAGGCAAGTTCCAAAAGCAAATCACATCAAAACCCCCTGGGAACAGAAAAGACATGTGATGTAGAATATTCACAAGGGCCTGAGGACAAGTTGCTCTATTTAAGTCTTATTTTTATGCTGAATAAAACATAATTTATGTTATACAAGTCAACTTTTTCAGACTTGAATTCAACAGCTACCTGAAAGGTACCCAGTGCACTAAGGTGTCCTATCAGAGGAGAAAAAGCTTTGTGCGTTAAGAAGTATCAAAGCCTTCCTGGCATAAATTAGTCAGGCAGACACTAGTGCCAGTTCATCTTGAGGTTCATGCCACTTCAGACTATTCCTAACTCCAGCTCCAAAACTCAAGTTGACTAAAGCTAATAAAACGTGCCTGTGGGATGGACACCTGCCCAGCTCACACTACACCCAGGGTGTCAGGTTAAGGACAGGAGCTGAAGCAGAATTTATCCCTATTTCCTGAAAAGTCCTCTGGATAAAGATGTACAGCTGCGTTAACAGGCTCTGCTCTCTCTCCAGCAGTTTCGGAGGAGAATCCGGGGCAGAGACAGAGGGGGAGTGGCCTCAGATCCAAGGAATTCCTCTCTTCTGCCTTGAGCAGTGTGAAGCAGGTTCTCCCCAACTTCCTCCTCACTCCAAATGCCCCACTCCAGCCACAAATTTGGATGCTAGGGATACCTCACAATTTCTGGCTGAAGAATGTTGACAGTGAAAACACCTTCCCTCTGCCACGCTCTATCCCAACATGTGTTGGGAGTACATGACAACACTCGTTCCACTTTTATATGTCCTTAAAAAATTGCACACATGCCACACATGAGTATTACTTCAGTGTTCATTAAGTTTGAAGCAAAAAGTCTTTACAAATTTTTCCTCAGGCAAGCATTGAAATATTTCAGACACAGAATGTGCTGGTGGACTCACAGTAAGGGATGAAAAGATCTAGCCTCTAAAATAGTCAGTTAGCAGCAACCTACATATAAAGTGTCTAGAAACACCTCTTCCATTTTCTATTTAATTTCTTCTTCCCTTGTTTTACCCCATCCTTCTTCACAGAACATACGAGTTGAAAAAGAAATTAGCCCAGATAACAAACACCAGAGGACAGGAACCACAGTGTCCCTCTTGTGTAACAGGAAAAACCACAGGCTCCATACCTGTGGAGTATGGGGCATCCACAAGAATTAACAATTTGGTCAGAAAACACGTGAAAAGTTCAGAAGACCCATACAACTAGTTTATGAACAAAGTCTTCTGTCACATACCTTCAGTTCCCAAAGTAGACTGTTGTTTGTGAAATACCAACTGTGACACTGAGACAGGAACTCAAAAAAAGGCATCTTAACCACTTTAAAGCAAAGGCAGATGACAAAGGAAGACCTTCAGAAGGACTCTGCCAAAGAAGTTAGCTTGTTCTGTTCTTTAAACAGTTTAAAGAAAACACGCAGTTGGCACTTGCACAGTTCCAGGTTAATTCAAATACATGGAAAAATATTAGTATCAACTATGCTTGAAGATTGGATTACTATCAACTACAGCCACCTGAAGAACACTGTGCAATTTAGACAAGCATAAAAGCCTTTGCAGAACTCAGGTCTTTAACTCCCAGTTACCACAAGTTCACCACGTTTCTGAGCTGTTACACGCCTCAGATCCACCATTTATTCAGCCCTAATCAGTTGAATATAGCTCTCAAATATCATTCACACTAAGTCACCTTGAATGCTTACAGAAGAAGAGATAGACAACCTCCTTGCTTGATTCAAGATTACTGTAAATGTTAAAATAACTCTTAAGTAGGCAACATGGATTCATTCCATTACGTCCTTTCTAGTACTTCCTCTTTAAACAGTTCAGGAGTTAAGCTTTAAGTAAGAAACAACTGAACAGTGAGCACTACCCTGGAATACCAGAATTTAGATTCAAGGTTAAGTGAACTTAATCAGTCCCAACTCCAAGCAGGTTCAATCCTGATCAACATTACCCTAATTCAGTCCTACATTATTTCTTATAATTTAAAACTCACACCAATATGCTAACGTGCTCATTACAACTTTGTTCAACTCTTCAATTACATCCTTCTGCAAAAGGCTGTAAGAATTAACCATTACATGGTTACAAGTCACTTCATTAGCCCTAAATTAATAACACCTGGTTTCCAATGGATTTACGACTTGCAATTGATTAGCTCTGATTGAAGCTCTTCCCATGTTTGGAGCACACACAGGTTCTCTGTGCTGAGAGGTTTCTCTCCTAGATAAGATAGGAACTTAGAGTCAATTTTTCCTTCAGTTAGGGCACTAGCCACTTTTAGGTCTCTCCCTTGCAAGAATTTAATTACCTTTAATGTTTCCACCTCTGCCACATTCAACCTAAATAAACCATCCAGTTCAAAGTTAAAGGGGAAAGCAGGCTACAAATATTTAATTCTAACCCCACAGATTTTTAGAAACAAAGCAACCGGAAAAAATCAGTTGACTATTATCCTTTGATTAGGCAATCCTAAAAACAAGAGCAAATTCATGTTATTACATATCCAGAGATTCTTTCTACAATGAGGAAAAGGATGAATGAACTACAGTCTGGAATACTACTTTGATCTCTTTCAAATGGCTTGCCAAAGTTGTCTAACCATTGCTATATTGCTATAAGTCAACATTTATACATAAACAAGTGAATTATAATGGCACAAAGGCATTTGACATATAAGAGCAAAGAAAAAGTAGTTCTGCAAGATAAAACGTTCAAGTCAGAAAGTAAATTTGTCTTCAGCTCAAGAGCTAACATACTACATTTAATAAAACAAACAAGAGATATGTACACAGTGACACTTAATTCCTAATTTAATACGACTGATAACCTATGCAAAATTTATAAAGTACTTCATAAAGCAAGTCTATATTATACCCATTTGATAACTCAGAGTCATGGAACAATTAAGTAACTTTCTCAGGGTCATCTAGCAGGTTATGACCTGAGGTAGAAAAAAAACCCCAAAACACTCAGGGCAACCAAATCACAGTACTGGATCCTCTTATCTAAGCTATCCCTCCTCCCCTCTACAAAAAAAGAATTACACTGACTCTTTGCTAGTGCATTGCTTACATAAAAAGGCAGCAAGCAGTCAAGTATTTTCCTTCCAGCAAAAGGAACAAGAGTCCTACCAAAAACGTTCAATCTATTTTACCCCCTTTTAAAAACTTTTGCATGCAGGATTAGCTAAGTATGCAGTACTTCTCAACTTGCAAAACCACAAGTGCACAGAACTAAAGTCTAATTTCACAGTCAATTTAGAAAAAATTAATTTCCAATTTTTCTACACTGATCTAAACACACTTCAAAGATGTCAATTACAATGCCTTTACAGATACTCCTTGTCCTCCAATTTCTTTCCCATCCCAAATTGTTTATTGGCAAAGCAACTTGGTGTCAAAAGAAAAAAAACACAAGATACTTGCTTTCATAAGAAAAGTTATAATTACTTTTAAAATGTTAATAAGGTCTCCATATAATACTAAGGGCTGAAGAAAACTATTTCCCTTGAAAACTGCAGTATTTTTTCATAGAAAAATACCTCCAGTTATAGGGTTGATGATGAAATTATAAAACATGAATTTACGTAATTAAACTGTGGGTTTACTGCTAACCTTTTTATACTTCACAGAAGAAACATGGCAATTTAAAAACTCAGTTACTATACAAAATACAGACATCACAATTCCTTACCTAGACGTCCTGTATGAAAAATATTCTGTGTCAAAAACAACCAGGTATGCACATGGCTAAAGTCACAGCAGGTTTCTGAAACATGCTTCTTTCAAATACATCTGATCTCTATGCAAGTAATTTACTATGTGATACTACACAGAGGTTCACAAACATCTACTTTCCTCCTCCAACGCTGCACACATTAACAGAGGATAATTTTTGTGTGTATAAAACACATTTTGGAAAACATAATATACAGGTCTTTATTTGAAAATATTTAAGGCAATATTGCATGAACTACTTATTCTTTTGCTTATTTTGATAATCTGCAAACCACTTGAACTGAAAATTTAGGACAACAGAACTGTGAAACGATGAGAAAAAGTCTAGAAGCATGCACTCTCTCCATTCACAGAGCTAAAGGAAATTATGAAACGGAATTAGCCTAGTGAATCAGCTAGGTGCCTTGTTTGTTTTGGAAGTTAGAAATATACAAGAAAGCAAGGTCATGCAATGCCATTCCCATTTTTATATAAAAATATGAGGGCATTTAAATGCCTGAAGTAATGATAAAAATTAAATTTTGCTGATTTTTACAATAAAAACATATATACCGCTTTTTAAGCTTAGGGATTATTTCAAAAAGCCTTTTATTATATCAAATCAAATAAGGATTCTATTTATACAGAAAGAGTCAAGTAATAAAATGAAGCCCATATTCCTTAAGACAAGATGCATTCATGCCTCTCCCACTGGAGAGACTGGTTCAACAATTTTACAGTTAAACAGAATTAATTCTACTCTCAAAAATCCATTGACCTTAAGCTTTTAACAAACATTTTCAACTGCAGAGTGTATTGTCAATATTTACAAATCCTTAAAATTATATTTCACTAGAACAGCTTTTATTTGCTATATTAATATTTTCTTGCAAATGTATGCTTATCCATATCAGAGAAGAAGAAACAGCTGCTACTCACAGGAAATCTCTGGGGTCCTACAGCAGGTCTTGGCTGGGCTGGAACTGGCAGCAAGGGCACTGAAACAAGAAGCGCCTTTTAACACCATTTGTTTTACCTAACAGTTGTTGCTGTTATTTCCAAAAGTGGTTGCAATAAGAAGCCATGATTAAAATCTGCTACATTTCCCCTCACATGTCACACTTCCTACAATTAACTTTATGCAACCATTCCCTCCCCCGCAACATGCAACAGGGCAATCAGGATTCTCCTAGTTCATTTACATAATTTAATTCTGCATTTTCCAGAATTAAATTGGTCCTTGTTGCAGGAAGGAAAACTAGCATACTTATTCAGCCAAAGACATCTCTTAGACAAAGCTGACAGAGACTCTTAACAATAATTTAATGTTTCAAATAGAAGGATACATGATTAATTTGCCTTCTCTACTTCACGCCCCTCAAGATTTCCTAGGTATCTCCCACTCTCACCACCAACCTCCCACAACAAGCATGGACATCAGAGCCTTTATCTGGTGTAAATCACTGTTCATAGGAGGGTAAAATGAGGCAGACAGTGGCAATTGACACCAAGCAAAAACTACTTAATCTGGTCTTGCCAGATTAATGGTATATGCAACTGTGATCACTGTGCTGATCTCAGATGAAAGACTGCTATTTCACAAAGAGACACCAAGAACAATTAGGAGACCATCTTCCTGAAAAACAACCTCCAAAATTAAGATTTCAGGGGCATTAATCTGTATGACTTGTCCATACTAGTCACAAAAAAAAAAATTTCCCAAAACATTCACTCAGTATTATGGCATAATGCACAAAGTCTACTGCTGGATCACCTTGGGGACTGAAACTCCCCAGTACAAAGTGTAATGATAGATTTCCCATTTTCCAGTACAGTTTTTTTTCCTTGTGGCATTGTCAAATTGTTAAAAGTACAAGTGTCCAATGTTAAACAGAAGGCCTAGAGAAGTTAAATAAAGCATTTTAATGAAACAGCACTGAACATGTTTGTTCATTTACTAAAAACTTTTAGTAAGTTTATTCTTTTACTTGTTTTTTTGCATTTCTGAAAGTGACAGGGTTAAACATCAACTTTGTAGACAACTACTGTGTTAACATCTTCCCTGCTCTGAAGTGTATGACAGACACACAACTCCTCCCTTAAACTAGCTGCATTTCCCAACAGAGTTTGACAAGATGCCTCAAAAATCCCTTTTTCCTTGGTAACTGAGGTACAAGAACTAATGCATTAGCAGTTATTTTTAGTTCATGTCCACGTCTGGCTTCTATCCACTTTTGTTAAGTACTTGTGGCTTACTAGTTCAGCAACTGATGGGGTAAACTAATTGCACCAGTCTTTCAGCGCCAAAGGACTGCATGCAAACTTTGTATCAGGTTACATGAGCAAATTAGTTGAATAGTCTCATCTTGGCTTTTAATGAACATCTGTCGATATCAAACAGCCACGGCCACCTGGAAAAAATTGACAGGGTGCTCTTGACAGACCTAGGACCAAAAATAGCTCAGGTATTACAGGTCAGAAAGGCACTCAGGAAAGTAGGAAATGTAGAGGAATGTCAACTCAACAGGGCACTCGTGTCTATTTCAGTATCCTGCCTCTGGCAGCAGCATATATATTTATATATTTTAAGCAAATGCATTTAATACTCATGAAAGATAGTAGTTCAAACTCTGTGCCCTTTCAATCCTTGGACACTTGCTGAAGCAGCAAAGAAGTCCCAAATAAACATTCATTTCCTGATGTCAAATCTTGCATAGGCTTGAAAAAGTATGTTTCAAAAATAATATACAACATGTTGTTAGATACTATTTCAAGAAGATTAAATTGCTTTTGACCATAAATTCCAATGCTACACCTGAAAAGATGAAGCAGCAATTCTCATGTTGAATATTTAGGAGAATTATAATGTAATTTTTCCCAGGACACCAAAAGTTTTTAAAAGGTAAATGGCATACTAATCTCCCGAGCTGCCATAAACTGCTCATTAGTTCATGTCAATTTTGGCAGCACCACAGTATCCTTGAAATAATTATTTGTGATATAAACATTAAGAGGAAAAAACTCAATACCTATTATAACAGGTTGAATTAGTATTTCACAGTGCATCTACGTATAGGCCTCCAGCATTTGTAAATTGATCATACTCAAATTTGGACATGCATTCAACCAAAAATTACTACTTACAACTCAAAACTAATTTACAGAATAGGGCATAAAGGAAAGAGAAAACCATATGACAAGCAACTAAAAGACATTAGATTCAAATGCCACAAAAGGCACAGCTCAACGCCAACTGAACAGTATCCGGAGCAGGTATCCGCAGAGGCTTACGTAACCGTTCTAGGGGGTTTGATAGACCGAGTCCTTCGTGATCATTTATGGAGCTTCAAAGACTAAAAATAGTACAAATTTGTTTGAAACAAAACTGACTTGAAAGTAACTTTTTTTTGAATCAAGATTCAAGGCTGGGCAGGGAGATGGTGGCCACTGTACGAGATTTGTCTTTGAGACATCAAAGGAATAAGCCAATGATAGGATTCTTCAACTCACTTCCAGCCTGAAGTAGCTAGCTATTAGAGCTCTTATACATGCTATTTTATTCACATGAAAATTTCGTAACAATTTACAGGAGGTTTGAGTTTATTTTAGAAAATACTGATAACACTCGATGCATTTCAAGGTTAACTCAAACCAAAAAGATGTTGAGAAAGTGTATTTCTATGATTTGCAGTTAGAAAAAGCATTCCTGGTGCTGACAACTAGAAGTACGTGAGCTTAATCCTGCCATAAAATTAGAGAGGAAAAAAATGCCAGTCTACACTAAAACATGACAGCACACCATTAAAATTACCAGAACTTAAGTGTGCCTATCATGCACTTCCAGACATGGCATTTTTAGCTTCCAAGGCATCACATTTTCAACAACAGAATCCCCGTAAACTTTGCACCTATCTGACTGTATTCTCCAATGCGCAAAAACCCTCATGTATCTGGAAATATATTCAGCCAAGAAGGGGCAGGACCTCATCAAGAACATGAAGTCGATCTGATCTTTCATACTTCCTGTTACCCTGAAATAAGCGATGCTGCATGTGAAACATCCTTATGTTGCCAACTACCAGTCTCTGCCTACTGGGGCCTCAAGCAGACAGATTAAACTGAGGAGGACTTTTTAAGAGGAAGTTTAGAACAGCTCTCCCTACACTGGAATTTCTGTCTACCATTTGCCTGCAGTGACTGCTTAAAAATGCATCTTAATATGCAAATGCCATTGAAGATTTTAGAATTATGCTCATCTTCCCTGAAGAACACTACTGATTTCCTACACGTTTTCCTTAGGTGTGCAAATGTATACTTTCATGTAACATAACTGTACTGCTGCAGACTAAGAGCCTGAGATGGCCACTACTCTCAGCCACTGCAGAAGACTCAGCTTCCCATACATGCTCTCTAATCAAAATTAAAATTCTACAGTGATTTAAAAGATTGCATTTAATAGTATGCTGCACACCTATTAGTAGAAATATTCAGTAGTCTTGCCAAGGATTCCTTCAGTAAAATGGACAGCATAAAGTTATTTCATATGAACCAGCCGCCATCAACACACATCGCAAAGATGTTCCTCACGGAAATACAGGTCTTACACCATTCAAAAATGGATCACTCATTCTCCAGGGCTGCTCACTCTGAGAGGATGACTAGACTTTTACCAGTCAAGAAATGAATGTGCACACAAAGTCAGCAGGTGTAAGATCTTAAAAAAAACAAACAAACAAAAAACCCACTACAGATCCAATATGGAAGACCTCCTAACATGCAGGAGGTACACAACTTTGTTAAAATGGGGATTTGCAAGTAAAGACAGAAAAAAAGACTATGTTTAAGATAAAGCAAGGCCCCTGGAATACCCACAGTGCCACAGATGTAATAGTAAGGCTTAGACAAGCCTGAAGCCACCTGATAATGTGAAAAAAAACCAAAACCCACTCAGACAAAAGAAAGAAGATACACTGGTATACTTTTGACATTAAGCAAAAGCAAAAATCCTCAATAGCCATTGCTGGCATTAGGAGGAAACTTGTTCACCTGGATGCAGATTTGTTGACTGTTTCACAGGGGGAGAGAGGAGAGCCATCTAGAATAGTCTAAAACCAAATTTTTGCTTTTCACAAAACAAGAACCGTTGCTTCGGAAATTCTAGGAAAATGCACAAAAGGCATAAATCCAAGACTAAAGGACCTTCTGGACTGCTTCCAAATAATCTGTCCTGATGCATAAATTGGTGGGAAACACTGATTTTATTAGACAGGAAAAAAGTGAAATAATCTCTACACTGCAGCTACTATGAAACCATCTGTGAGAAGCCTAATAGATCTCTATCAACTGGCAATATCCTACCCTGCCCAATTCCTACCTTTCATTGGTCAAATAAATGAAGCACAGATAGCAATGGCTTGGAGATCTGCTGATTTGAAGGGGGAAAAAATACAGAAAACCTGACGGTAAATATGTATAAATATATATGTGTTTCTTTACCTGCTGTCCCACCAGAATCACAAATCAGAGAGACATAGGTGCCTTTTTTTTTTTATCCTCTTAGGCATTAAACACTTCCCAAATAAGCAGTAATGTTAACAGCTCTGCTGAGAGCTGCCCTAAAAAGTGTTGCCCAAAGAGTGCTTGTGTTAAGCTACAGAAAAAGTGTACTTGCAGACTGTGAATCAAACAGTCACAAATGTGGCACTGAAAGCAGAACTGAGGGCATGTATCTTGTCAAGTAAGGACGGCAGCTGGTACCTTTCACAGAGCAATTACAGTGCAAGGAGTGCCTCACTCTACTCTCACTGAAATAGGTGGGTGGTCATTCTGTGAATGCTTGGCTGAAGCTGAAATGATGTGGGAAATTATAAACTGCAGTACTTACCTAGCTTTGAAAACTGACATTTGCTACTTTTAAAAAGCACATTCTCTTTTCAGTTTCCATTTTTACTGTTCTTTGCAGACTTTTACAGCAGAGTAACAAAGACAAAGTTGAAAACGCTTTACTATTCCAGCTGGCCACAGCCCAACAACATTATGTCTTACTTTAGGCAAAACATTTGTTTCAAGCTTAAGGAAAAAAATATCAGCCTGAAGCATATTTCCATGAAGTGACAAACAAATTGCTGCATCCCTGGCAGAGAAGATGAGTCACGCTTGCATACTGGGAAGGTGTTCAGAAAGCTCACCTTGCACAGGCGTCACTACTGTCCCCTTGAAATGTGGATTTATGTGTATGTTCTTCGGTTGTTGAGGTGTCACTGGAGGTGGAGTCATCATTATTCTAGGCGTTTCTATCTGAGGGGGCATATGTAGCCCTGGAGGAGGAGAAGAATGATGCTGATGCTGTAAAGGAAGCAGAGATTGTAACTGTTGCTGCTGCTGCTGCTGTTGTTGCTGCTGCTGCTGTTGCTGCTGCTGTTGGTGGTGCTGCTGCTGTTGGTGGTGCTGCTGGAACAGACTCCTAACAGGTTGCTGGTGTGTTGGAATTAACCTCTGTGAATGAGTCTAAAGTCAGACAAAAGAATAAAGTCAATAGGCTTTAAAGTTAAAATATCCTGACATAAACCAGCACAAAACCAAGACACCTTTGGAGAACAATTAAGGCCAAATATGAACAGAAAAACTTCTTTCCCATATCATCAACTGGAACTGTTAAGAACCATCAGCACAGGAAAGCAAAGGAACAAAGGCATTTGTGTGAAGGAGAGGACAGCAAAGAGCAAGGAGCAAAGAGCACGCAGGGAATGCAGACATTCATTCACTTATTTTTAACAGTGAAACTGTCTAGTTTCATATGTAGGGTTCTGCATATGTCACTGGAAACTGTCATCAACTGCAGTAAGGTATATGTGATGATCACTAGAAATCTGAGTCCTAGTATCAAAACAAATCCACCAACTTTTGTCTTACATATAGAAGAGGCTGAGAAAACAGACCTAACAGGAACAACAAAAGTCAAAATACAAATTAAGCTAGATACTAAGATACCAGTGCAGCCCACCTATCCATACTGCCTGAAGAAAAAACTACTTTAAAAGATACTTTCAAAGGTACCTTTTGTATCATAGAAGAAAGTCCCTTGCTGCTCAACACTCAAAAACAAATGGCCAAAATAATTTATAATTAAAAAAATAAATATTATCATGTTTCTCTTCAGACACATTCTTCTGCTTCTGAACTCACTGATACTACATATCAGTCCTAGCCCAGTAACTTCCAAATGGCAGTGCAAGAAGAGTCCCAAACAGGCAACCTTTTAGTAACAAAGATGTGACACACCATTTTTTTTTCAGCAGCCATATACATAAAGCAAAGCAGCTACAAAGTATGCACAAGAAGATACTGTGATGAGCACAATATGTTTACAACATTCAAGATCAAAATAACTAGCAAGGACTGCAGCAATACAGAAAAAAATTATTCCACCTTCACTGTTTTAAAAGCACGAAATATTCTACTGCAGGGCTCTCAACCGCTGAGATATCCACCGACTCCTGCTAGTGATCAGCACCTAGAGTTACTGCTGTTGGAAAAAATCCCCTTTGTTTAACACAGATGACCTTGTCCTGCAAAGACATACACAGGCTTTGTTCTACAATCTCAGCTTCCAGTACATTTTATGACAGTTAAAAATAAGCGTGGGCCACCTCTTGATCACACACTTGCTGGGGCTTTTTTTTGGATGGAGAAAGTAATATAGTTTGTGATACAAAGTGCAGGGTGGAGGGAGGAAGAGTAACAAAGCTAAGTTCCATCTGAAATCCCAAGATACTAATTTACCTAGTGGTGATTACCTCCCTAGGGTTTTATTTGCCTCCACAGTAGCACGGTAGGTATACAGAAAGACTTTTTTTTTTTTTTTTTTAAAAAGTATCAGCAAAAATATTAGTTTGACAAAAAAAGAAATATTTTTACAGAATAATACTTTTTTAAACTAAATGACTACTGATAACATGGGACTGAACATGTTTCCACATTGCATGTACAGGACTTCTCAGAGGAATTAACTTTTTGCTCCATCCCTATGCAAACCAGTAGGTAAGCCTTTCTGTGTTGTACGAGTCAAAATCCATTTTTCATTTGGAGGCCTTCAGATTCCTCAAGTTGAGTCTGGTAACAGGACTAAGTACATACTTTCACAATCACCACGTTATGCAAAGCCCATCTTGCCTAACAGTGCCCTGAAAGAGCAAAAAGCGTGCATTGGAATATATATTCCACCTTTGTAAAGATTCACGATTTAGAATGCATTTCTCCATAATTTCCTGAAAGCATGTTCAAAGAATACTAAGGATTAAAAGGTACCATTGTCGATGGCTGGTTTGGCAGCAGTGCAGGCCTGTGATCCTTCATTCTTCCCCTATCATTATTGTCTCTCCTTTGTTCTCCCATTCCGTGGCACATAACTGAGCCTCCTCTTCGCCCTCCTCTCCTTGAGCCATACCGTCCCTGTTTAAGCTGCCTCTCCCTCTCTTCAAATTCAAGTAATGCTGCTTTGGCTTCTGCAGAAAGTTCTGTTAAAAGAGAGAGATGAGGAAAAATATTTTAGCTTTGTGCTGAAGAGATGGAAAATATCATGAAAAAAACATTGCTAGAACTGTAGAAACATCCCTGCAACTAACAAAATTTGCAGGCACTTTGATCTCCTTTAGGTGGCATGTTAACATTTCATTAAAGACATCTTTAAAAGGAAAAAGCAGAGATACATGTGTCTGTTGCACAGTCAAAAAGCAGCAGGTAAATGAAACAAACATGAACAAAAACATTTGTTGTTTTTTTTTTTTTTTAAATGCTATTGAAGCTTGCCTTATGCTGTAAGAGGCAGCTATGGCTCCTCTCACATTTGTGTTACCCTAAACAACATCTCACTTATCTGCAGAAATGTCTGCAAAACCCCCAGTAAACTTTACAGTAAAGGATATGTTGACTTTTCTATACAAACAGTTTTTATCCTCCAGACTCCTCTGCACATTGGCCTGTTCCAAAGGAGGACTTCTTGGTCACTGAAGTGTTTCTGCAGTATGTAATTACTTAATATTTTATCTATTGTATGTGGTTGAAGAACCAACTGTACTTCACAAGTGACAATTCCACTTAGAGAGCACACTTCAAAATCTGTGCTCAGCTCAAGTCAAATACACGGCCACTGATAATGCTCACTCAGCTCACCTCACACGTAAACACCAGAGAACAGACAGTACTCAACGAGGACAGCCAAATTTGCTTGAAACCTGGGACAATCAATGCTGATAACACTAAGAGAAAACCATGCAGTAACAGGCCCAGGTCATCACATTACTTTGCAATGTAGAGAAAGTCTACAGTAAAATTCAGGAAACACACCATAACAGTACGAGCGGTGCCACTCACCAAGTTTCAGTTACTTAAAAGGGATAAACTCTGACCCAAACATGCAGCTGAGGATTTTGCCATGTGCCAGTCAGATCCCTTGTTACCTCTAAAATTGACTTCTGACTCTAACAGAGCAAAAATCAAACGACAAGAAACACATTCCTGACAAATAAAAACATATTTTGAATTCATATACATGGCAATTAGTGCAAGAATTCCATTTTTCCCATTTAAAAAGTCTGCTCTTAATGTTAAAGGAGACTGGGTACAGGGACCACTTTTCAGGACAAAGCGGTTTTACTTGCTAATACTATACATAATGGCTATAATATCTAAAGATCAGAATAAAAATAGTTTGTATCTGGCAGCTGAGACACTACTACAACATCTCCACGTCACTACATATCCTCCATCAAGAATACATAACTAAAGCAATTAGAAAACTTAAAATTTCTTGCAAGTAATAGCCAAAGCTACTTAAACCACCATCTTAAACGTCTTCATAAGTAATCTCAATTAGTCTTGGAAGTTGAGGATTGACAGAAGGGCAGAAAAGGGCGAGTGCCATGCATTCCCACTGTGGCAGTTGTTCTCACTTGGCTACAAAAACTACCTGCACGAGTGAGCTGCAAAGACTAAATTTGCATGTCCCAGTTTTCAGAGGTATTCAGCACCTCCAGAAAGCAGCGGCTTTTTGATTTTTTAAAAAAGTTTAGAACTTGTTGACTGTCTAAGAACACAGCAAACATGACACACTCCTAAATGCCCAGAATCTGCCATATAGCTTCCTATTTGATTTCTGCACGCTGGTGATGAGACAAGTTTCTCTTCCTTTTCTCTTCCCTCTCTGACACTGCAATTAAGTGGCATGAAGCTTTAATTTACAATCACACCAGATATTCTTATAAAATGCTACTTTTGCCCTAGCACCTGCCTTGAGAGATTGGCAGAGCCCAAGACAATCAGGCTTCATCAGGAAAAATCTCATGGCATGCTTAGAAAGGGGCAAGGAATCACACTCCCTCAAGTCTTAGTATGGTATTAAATGTGCACACTATGGATTTCTGAGGAAAATTAAGACAAATGTACTCTTGTCCAAAGCAATCAAAAGCATTAGATGCAACTAAACCAACCACCTTATCCATCTTTAGCTGTTGAGGATGAAAAAAGCTGGTTTAATGGGAAAAGTAGAGCTCTGATTTCAAGCCTCTTCCTGGTCCACCCCTGAAGCAAGTTGAGTTTCTTCACAGGCTTGCAAGTGTGAAAGGGCTAACATGGGCTTTTAGTTGGTCTGAAGGAAAGACAGACCACTAGCTCCCATATACTTATGGGAAGAAATGGTGCCATTACATTGCAAAGCAACAGCTCTCCTCCCTTGAACCAGAGAGGATCCAAATCCTGCATGGCATCCTGCACATGCTGCTAGTTGGAAAGTCTTCTGGTTTTTCCAAGAATAGGGCAATCTTTCTGCCATCTTCCACACTACAACCCTGAACTCAGCAAGGCAGTTTGGAAAGCAAAGTTCAGTCATTGCAACAAGTACCTACCACTGACACTCATTCAAGACAATAAGCAGCTCTTTCCTATTAAACAGATTAGAAATCACACGTGAGGAAAGCAATTCTTAATGAACCCAGGAATAGAGCTAGGCTTCCTACAAGGCCAGATCATATCTGAGTCTCTCAGCCTCTTGAGCACATGTCAAAGGGCACTGAATAGAAACAACTTTAGAAGAAAGAATGGGCTGCTCCAAACAAAATGGCTTCAGAGGGCTGCACTGATTAAGACTGGGGAAGGATGACAGCACCCAGGGCAAAGTTAGTCCTGATGATCTTTGCTGTGCAGCTACTTTTCACTCTTTAAAATCAAAATTAATAAATTGTTTTCCTACTCACTTTACACAAAAGTTCTTAAAATTTTAAGGCTGTGTCTTTAAAGGCACAGTCCACATACTCAGTTTTTCAGCCAGAAAAGGGAAACTGTGTAACACTGACCCTGGAAAAAAATATCCCAACCAAAACAAAAACCCTGAATTCACTGCAGCAAGCATCATTACATTCATACCACATCTATGACCACAGAAGTGTAATATAACCATTTGATTTAGGAAAAAAAAAATGTTAAGATTACATTAACATCAAGCATACTTCCCGCACAACATGCCACTGAAGGCAGTAGTATGAAGAATTTTGCTTACACAGAAAACTGCAGGTTCAGAGCCTCAGAGACAGACTGCAGAAGTGAAGACTCATGCAGTGTACCAAACACATGAACACCTCAAGTGCTTTATATTGCTATCAGTCACCACACAGCAAAATATACTGTCAGCTCAATTATTAGGTGGGCTCTCGAATTTGAGAGCATTGTGCTACACATACAGAGATCAAGGAGAGGATAGTGTGGAAGACGGTTTTGCAGGGAGGGGAGCAGGAAAATAGTCCCTGTCTTCCCTGAAAGCAAGACCAAACTGCTAACTAGAAAAGAGCTGACAAGCAGAGGAAGAAGAAATCCTCTTTCCCTCCCCAGACTCCTCCAAAGCACAGCCAGGTATTCACATGAAAAGGCCCACTGCTTCTCCCTGGCTAAGAGCTTGTGTGCGTTGTGACCAAAACACACTGAGCTAGGCTGGATACTGCCATGCCCCTTGGACAGTGTGTGCGGGCTGCTGCAGCGCATGGCCACCGGCTCCTGCCTACACCAACCCCGAGCACAGGACTCTGCAGCTACATCTGCCTTGGGTGGCTCCCCGAGAGCAATGGCATTTCAGAACCCCAGGTTTGAGGATCCCAGAACCCCTATTAACCTGGATAATGCAGAGATTTACAACATAAATCACATTCTACAACAGCTGTAAAAAAAGAAAAAATACATATGCCTTTACATATGCCTTCTATGATTCTATGATTCTATTCTATATACAAGCAACCTAAACTGAGAGAAACAGCAACTGTTCTCCTTTGTTTTAACTTTTTTTCTTCCCATCATCCAGACTTGCAACCCAATTATACTATGTGCTTCTCCACATGGTGCAACAGGACAACAGTGAAACCATTCATTTTAATTTCCTAGTCTTACCTGAAGATCGCAGGCACAAGTTACCAGAGTAAACATAAGCCAGCTAAGCAGGACATAACAAAAAGTACTACCACATGCAATAACCTTTGTTATCACTTTGCAAATGGCTCTGCATAAGTGTAGGGTTTGGTTTTGTTTCTTAAATTAGGTACAGAGAGAATACTTTAGTTTGGTGATACCAAACAAAACCATTTTTCTTCACATTCCTTAACTAAATCCAGAGCATAACAATTCCAACTCTGTGAAGACTTCAACTACATGCACTGAAAGAAGTAAAATATTTCTCACCAAAGATGACAAACTCGGTATCTCTAGAAATCAACTGCATGGTTGTCCTACGCCACCTCTCCTTTAAACTTTTCAAAACCACTACTTACCTTATCTTGGATAAAGAAACATTTAGGAAAGGTCTCCACTACATTCGTGAGAATACTCTATATTTTTACGTATGTTTTTATCAGCACACACTTATTCTCATCTTGACCATACAGTTCTCACACACACAGTTAATGCAGTGAATCAGCAATTATTTTTCTAGTGTCTCTAAGTGTCAAGATTAATTTCACTATCGCTGGTAATAAAATGGTTTCAAATGACATCTTTAATCAGCAAGTAAGAATGCACTCCTCCAATAGAGACAAGCTGTCACAAAAGGTCACCAAAATGTGACAGGATGGAAATTACGTTTGTAACTTCAACTGAAATGTTAATTCCTCTTTAAGTGTTTTCTCAGCTATGTTCAGATTTTAAAGCAAGGAGATGTAGATCTGCAATGAAGTTTCATTTTTAAACCAGTAGCATCTGTAAAAATTTGATCTATAATCTCAAAAGCAAGCAAATACTTACATGCAAGCAAGTATTTTTTGCTGTTTAACTCTGTACCACATGCTCAATCAGTTGGTCTCTTTAATCAACAAATTAACATGAAAAACTAGTATGAACAGAAACAATTTCAGAACAGCAAGACTGTATTTTTGCCAAAGATTAGTTTCAAAAAAAGCTCTTTAGTTTATAGATTCATCCACATTTGCATCCCCTTTTCCTTATATCTCAAACCTACATCCCAAATCATTTAAAATTACACTTAAAAGTAAGTCTAATTTGAATCACTGTTCCTTTAACAGTCAAGCTCCACTACAGGTTCTCTCTTCATTGGCTGGTCTTGTCTTTACATTAAACTATAGAGTAAATCCACAGATATCCAAAAATGCAGGCAATTGTCATTTCCCTTGCAACTACATGCAGAGATTTAGCTATTCCAGTGCACTCTTACTCTTAAAATACTCTGTTTCATAAAGCCACCAGCACCTTTTGTATAAATAAGATATGGTCTGTATGTGGTATGTAGTAATATGGTCTTATGGTTGAAAACACATTTGGAATGCACCTCAGCTAAAATATCCCTTGCCCGTATAGACTACTCTGTGCTTCTAGAGGGTTCCCTTCAGTCTTATTCTAATCAGAATCAATTCCTCACCATCAAAACAATGCTGAAAAAAGGCCCTTAATACACACTTTGCCTGAAATTGCAAGTAAGAAGAGCTATTTGCTAAATACGAACAACAGATGAGAAAGATCTTGATTCAAAATCATGCACTGACGTCTCACTCACAGCACAGCATGGCCTACATGAATACTGCTGTGAAAGGCTGGTTCAGCCTTTGCAGCTGACTCCTTGCTGCTCATGAACAAGTCCTCTTAGCCACAACACCTTTGTTACAGAATTAAGGCTTCTCTATTTTTGCAGGCATAGTAAAAGCCCAAATTCCTTGTAACCAAATTAAAGAATTAGGAGGCTATGCAACTCGAGAAAAATCCTTAGAACTGACATCCTTGGAAAAGCAAGGCTTTCAAGGTAAGAGGAAAATCTCTTCAGGACGAGTTCCAGCAATCTAGGTATGTGCTCCAGGAATGTAATTCCAAAACACCCTGCTGTCCCAAAGACACTGACTCATCTGGAAAGAAAGCAGAAGCACCCAGCTACCAAGCTCACAGTGCATGGCACCCATCTTAAAGCAATCCTGTGTAAAGAATTCAACCCTACAGCCTGGCAAGACTTGAAGTATCATCAAAAAATACATCTTCTCTCAGTTGTATCTGACAATTAGCCAACAGTATCTGACAATTTGCCTTCATTACCAGTTCACCTCTCTTGCATATCTTGATTCTCTTTAAAAGATCAGGGCTTTTTCTCCATAGTTTGAATTGATATTTT